AACCAAGAGACTCATGTAATGGTACAAGATCCCAATGATGAATGTAACTGTATTTTATACCTAAAATGTACCAATAAAGTTAATGGGGAAAAATAAATAAATAAAATAAAAGTAGGGCTTTGATATCATTTAATGCTGTGGCCATTATTCCTTGGAAACATTAGAAATGAAAAGCCTGGAAGCAGGTCCTTCCCTGTCCATCTGCATTCTGTACCATGTGCCTCTGGATGAATGATCACCTCAATGATGACCTGAGAAATGACCCCATGGGCTGGGCTACGTGACAAGCAGCCTATACCAGTGTTCTCTCTGACCTGGACTTCTGGAAAAACTGCCCTTGGCTTCTTGCAGCTGTGTCAACAATGGCTTTACAAAAGTGAAAAACTGCCACATCCAGGCTGACCTCAACAAAAACATCCCTCAGCAATCTACACTCTGGAACATTCGGCAGATCCAACAGGAGCCTTTTGCTTAGGGAGCTGTTCAGCTGTTCAACCTCAGATGCTCATTCTGACTCTGGGAGCACTTTTTCACAAACTGGCATCAAGAAAATAGTCCCACAGAGCCAGATCGAGCATGCCTGATCAAAGCTGGATCCTTGCCTCATAGCGCAGGTGGTCAGAGAAGAAAGGAGGCCAATATTTGCTACCAGCAAACAATGAACATATATTTTTTTTTACCCAAAATAAGTTTCCTCAGTTGTATATTTTTAGCTTCAAAATGTCCCACAGTTCACAGTTCATTATAAAATGGTGACCTCTCTGTTAGTACAGAACAGTTAGGAAGACTAGGGCCAAAGCTCCTAGCAGTGCAGACCGAGACATCTGTGTGAGGTCTGCATGCCCCAGAGAGGAGCTTGAGGTCAGGAATTTCAGTGGCCCCTTTCCCTCAGGCTCAGGCCGGTGTTAGCAGCAGCTGTACTCACAGACCTTTCTCACCATCCTGTCCCTGAGGATGCAACAAGGCCTCAGAGACTATTAAGGTGACTTATCAGCACCAAGTACATATCTGAACCCACCAGAAGATCAGCTCTTAGCATACACCTTCACTTCAAAAAGATTTCTTGGACTTCTACACCTGACCAAAGAATTGAGTATATTTTGGACTAAGTAACTTTTAAAAATATGAAGAACAAAGGGAGATGTGAAGAGCTTAGGAGTCAGACAGTTCTGGGCTTGGAACCCAGCCCAGCACCTGGTAGCTGTTTCTTTGGACAAGGTATCATCCTTTCCAAGCTCAGTGCCCTCACTGAATGAATCTGATAATCAGCCCCAAGTCATAAGCTAAGCGCATTAATATAGTAGACAATTAAAGGCACTATGTAGAATGCCAATGCGCATCCAGCAGTCTGCTAGGCTGTGGAAACTTTGTAAGTCTAGGAAAACATTTCAGAGTAACTGCAGTGCAATCTGCCTTTGACTCTTCTTTACTGGGCTTCATTTGGATCCACCCTGTGATAGTGTGCTAGAATAGGAAATGTGCATTTGGGCTTCACCTCTGGTTCCTGGCACACAGCTTCTAAAAGTCTTGGAATTTGCTGAGTGGCAGGTGTGGAAGAGCATCTTTTGTTCTTCATAGTAAGTCCTTTCAACCTCACAGGAGTTTACACTAATGGGCTGACTCTTGGTGGCCCTAATTTCAGAATGGATGCTGGCAGAGAGGGGAACCAACCATGTGATCAGAAGGCCCACCCCTGACCTCTGAGAGAGGCAGAAGGGCTGGGGGTTGAATTAATTACCAGATCTCAACGATTTAATCCTACATAAAGGAACCTTCATAAAACCCCTAAGCTATGGGTTTAGAAAGCTTCTAAGCCAGTGAACATATATATCTACATGCCAGGAAAGAATGTTACCTCCCAACTTCACAAGGACAGAAGCTCTTGTGCTCAGGACTTTCTGGTCCTTCTTGCGTTTATGCCTTCTCATCTGGCTGTCCATCTGTATCCTTATATTGTTTACAATGGACAAGCAGAGATAAGTAAAACATTTCCTAAGTTCAATGAGCCATTCTAGCAAGTTACTGAACCCGAGTATGCAGCTATGGGAATCTCTGATTTATAGCCCAGTTGGGCAGAGTGTGGCAACCCTACACCTAAAGTGGGGGCAAGTCTTGTGGGATTCAGCTCTGAACTGTGAGTCTGTACAAACTCTGGGCAATGAGTGTCAGAACTGAATTAAATTGCAGCACACAGCTTCTAAAACCCTTCCTGAGTGACAGAGAACATCTTGTATTACTCATAGCAAGCCCTTTTCAGCCTCATTGGAGTTTATACTCATGAGGTAATTCTTGATGGTTACAGTCATCTATACTCAGCTAGTATCTATAGAGTTGGAGAACTAGTTATTGGTGTGAGGGAAACCCCCACAGATATTCAGTGTTGTAAGTGCTATCCTAGTAGTAGCCTCCAAATATTTTATTTTGTGTCATGTTCAAGTTGTCTGTCTCAAGACCTTCGGTATACAGGATAGGAGGAGTTAGACTAAATTTCAAACAAGTACAGACATACACAAATACATACATACATATGTGTATGTATATATGTATGTATAATACATATATATGTGCATATATACATATATACATGTGTGTGTGTGTGTGTGTGTGTGTGTATATATAGTCCAGACTGGCTCACATGCATCAATCAACATCACCACTGACAATACACCAGGAAGTACTCTTTTTCCTAGGTAGTAGTTGTAAAAATCAACACAAAAATGGACTTCATTTGGAGTCATCTTTTTCTACTTACTGGAACAAATGTATTCTGCAAGCTTTTCTGCATTTCCACAGTTTTCTCCTTCAAAATTCAGGCCAATTTTATTAACTGGAAAACAACAAAGAAAGGTATTTCTTTAATTGATTATTATAACCATAACTTGATATGTCATCTTCATTAGATAAAGAACCACCTAGCAGATTAGTAAAGCACACTGTGTATGTGTCTTGGTGGGTCATAGAGGCATGGTCTTGGGTACTATATATGGTCCCTTGCCCCTTTCTCTCTGCACTCTTCCCCTGCTCTGCTTTTTGGCCACCATCAACTAAGTAGTTTGTGCTGCCATGTTCTTCCACCATGAGCTTTCTTCCTTAGGGCCTGGAAACCATGTAATGAATCTCCTGAAAACATGAGCTAAATTAAGCCTTTCCTCCTTTAAACTGTGGTTCTCTCTTAAGTACTGTGTGCCAGCAACAGGATAGTTGACATTTACAGAAAACTGGTACCAGCATTGAAGTCATTACTGTGACTACTATACCTGATCATGTAAATTAGAAGCCTTTGGAACTGGTTGGCTGAATGAGTTTGGAAAAGCTGGGAAATGTGGACTAGAGAAGGCTTAGAATGCAGTAAGCAGAGCCCATTAAGTGATTCTAGTTAGAGCTTAGAAGACCAGAATGCTGATAGGAATGTGGACAATAAAAGCCAGGCTCAGGAGATCTCAGTTGGGAACAAGTACTTCATGGACATTTGGAGTAGAGGCCACATGTCTTACATATTGGCAGAAAATTTGGCTACATTTTGCACCTGTCCTGCCTGGGACTTTGGAGGCACCTGAGATTAAGGGCAGTAGACTAATTACTCTGGCAGAGGAAATTTCAAGACAGCCTAAAATTCAGGCTGTGCCACTGATTCTGTTAGCTGCTTTTATCCAGATTTATAATGAGATTAGGGCCAAAAGGCAGAGCAGAAAAATTTGAAAAATTTAAATTTTGCTCTTGAAGGAGGGGCCAAAGAGGTTTTGGCTGCTAAAGAGATTAGCACCATTAAGGATGGTACTTTGTACAGGGATAAAGAGGTGACTTCAGGGCATCTCAGGAATGAGGAAGACATCAAAGGCTCAAGGATGCAAAAGTGTGAACCTTTCATTTGAGAAGAGAGCCCCCGGGATGCCTGTTTGAGAGGGGCCTCCTAGGGAACAGGTTCCCTGGGATTCATTTCCCTGTGCTCAGCCATTTAGACACTCAGAGGGTACTGCAGCCATGACTCAAGGGGCCTAGCTACTGCTTGAGCTGAAGCCAACTTTGGTATCATCACATGATGCTGGGTTTACTGGCATGCAGCATATAAGAACTGTGGGAAGAATTAGGAAGGCTTCCACTCAGATTTCAAAGGAAGGTTTGGGAAGCCAGGCAAGGAGCCTGAAAATGCAGTGCATGGATCAGAGGAAATGAAACCAAAGGTGCAGGGCAGGCCCCAGAAAGTTGCAGATGCCAGGAATGTGGAACATCTGCTGAGAAAAGCTGCAGCTCCAGAGTGGAGCCACTCCACAAGAGAGGCTGTAATGGGGTGCAACCAGCAAGGCCATAGGGGTGGGGTGCCCACACCATCTGCACTCAAAACATTTTACCACTGTGTATTTTTGGTGCCATATATGGAGTTACAGAACTCAATGTTTGCCCTGGTGTGTTTTAGTCTTGCTTTGGCCTGATTATTTCCATCTCTTATTCCTCCTTTTTGTAATGAGAATATTTACCCTGTGTCATTGTACCTTAGGATGATATAACTTGTTTTTAATTTTTAAAGAAGTTCACAGATAAGAGTTTGCCTTGAGTCTCAGAAAAGACTTGAACTTTTGAAAAATGCTAGAACTACTGAGACTTTGGGGAAGGAATTATTTATTGGATATACTCAGAATAGTTGTACTATGAAATATTGCTATTATTATCTTTATTTGGGGATTAAGTATGACTTAAGGAGATGTTTTTGGGTGGAAGTTGACAAGAAATGGATTATGACTATTAATCCTGATATGTCATCTTCATTGGATAAAAAAATGCCTACCAGATTAGAAAAGGATGGTCCTGCGTATGTCTGGGTGGGTCATGGAGGCATGATCTTGGGCACTACAGATGGTCCCTTGCCCATTTCTCTCTGGCATTGTTCCCCTGCTCTGCTTCCCAGCTGCCATGAACTAAGTAGCTTGTTCTGCCATGCCCTTTCACCATAAGGTTTCTGCTTTGGATCCTGCAGATCATGTATTGAATCTCCTGAAACTGTGACCTAAATTAAATCTCTCCTCCTTTAAATTGTGGGTAATAGGTACTGTGTTCCAGCAACAGGAAAGCTAATACAGTTATTGAAGTAATTTTGTTTCTGTGTTTTTGGTGTGTAAGAGCTAAGACATCCTTCTTCACAATTGAGTAAACCAGTCTGAGGCTGAGTGCCCAAATGAGGCCAATGCTGTTGTGGTGCACTTGACCCTGGTCCACTGTTAGCTGCTCCAGATCTCGAGATACGGCTGGCTCATATTTTTTCATTTGCCAAAACAGTGAATGCAAGATGAACAACAATGGTGCTAATGTCAAACTGAAGGGTGTGTGGCAGCTCAAAATGCTTATCAGCTAATATGTAAAGTCTGAATTTGGAATACGGAAATCCAAGCAGAAAAATTTACAACTCTAATGTACATGAGATAGTTGGGTTTTTGGTAAATAGGTAAGAAACTGCCTAAATTATTTCCTTTCCTCATTCAGGAAAAAAAAAAAAAAAAGAAACAGCAAAATAAAGTGAAAGCAAATTCTTAACTTATTTTAGGGGAAGATAAAGAATAAATAATGAAAAATAGATAAAGAATAAAAAATAAAGAATAAATGTGGACACTGAGTCCCTCATCCTGCCTGACTTACTGAGCTTGTGGCAAGAGTGGCTCAGTGCCAAAGATGAAGGCATCATCTTTAGCCTAAGCAGTGACTCCCAAGCTACCTCCTTCCCAGCCTCATTTTGTTTTCTGGAAAAATGTGCTTTTAATTCCTAAACTACTTTCATTCCTGGTATACATTCCCGATATTTTTAACCTCATTGGACAAAATGGAGCTATTCTGAAACAAAGTTACAGGTTAACTTATTCAAAATTGCTAAGCATTATTTTTAAGTGTTTAAAATGTTATAATGCTAACTTTTAAAATTTCTTGTTTACTGTTTATGCTTTAAAAGATGTAAGTTCAAGACTATTTGGAAAAACACAGAGAAAAGTAAGAAAACTAGAAAAACTAGAAAACCAGAATATTAACTACCTGAAGAGTCAGGCTTTTTAAAAATTGTAGTAAAAATACATAACATAAAATTTACCATTTTAGCCACTTCTGGAGTATAATTCTAGGAGCATTAAGGACTACATTCACAATGGGATTTTTGGGCCAAAAGTTACAACCATTTAAAGAAAACTTTTGAATAGCTACTAGTCAAGTACTTCTTAAAATGGTTAACACCACTTAGCCATGTTTGAATATATGTGCTTCAGTTATCAGTAGCATTATATATTTAGATCCTTCTACAAATTTTCTTTTCTTTTTTTTCTAGTACCAGGGATCAAACTCAGGACCTTACACTTGCCAGGCAGGCGAGGTGCCACTGAGCTAAATCCTTGGCCCACTTTCTACAAATTTTCTAAGTAAAAAATAGTATTTTAAAACTGAATTAAAGTATTTTAAAAGAAAAAAGAAGGACAGGTCATTTTTGGCGTTTAATTTTTACCCTGACTCCTTACCTAGAGAAGCGGTAGCCTTTCCAACCACATACACTGACTTAGTGTTCCATTTTTCTTTCAGAGTCTTTTCCCAGCCTGTAAAACATGAAATTATATGTGAGTGGTAAACACCAAAGTGTCCATTTGGACTGCTGCAAAGGTTACTTGTTCATACTAAGCAAACCATTAATAATCAACTACAAAAAAAGGCCTCTTGGGCTGGGGATTTAGCTCAGTGGTTCCACCGCCTGCCTCACAAACTCAAGGTCCCAAGTTTGATCCCCAGTACCAAACAAACCAAACCAAACAAAAAAAACGGCATCTCAGCTGGCTGTTGTGGCACATATGTGTAATCGCAGCACTATGCTGAGCGACAGGGATCACTACTTAGCAAGACTCTATCTTGGAAAAAAAAAAAATCCCATAAAAATCCCACAAAAACAAAACCGAAAAAGAAGAGCATATCTAACTAAAATTTCATTTTCATATTGTTCCTATTCTACAAGAAAAATTTTAAAAATCACCAAGGTCAGAATGGCTGCATGGACCCAGGACCCAAGACCTTGTGCTGACCACACTCCCTGCTGCTTCCACTCACTGGGACAATGCTCCCAAGCCTCAGTGGTTTCATCTGTAGAGTGAAACTGTAGTATATCATGTGCCTCTGGACTATTGTCTGGAGCTGAGTAAGGTAATGAATGTGAAGTATTTAACACAGTGCCTGATGTATAACAGGCTTTCCAGAAATGTTAGCTCGGAGGCTGTTCAAATGAAGTTATGAAGGTGGTCCAGTTAGTGGGCAGTGCCTTTTCATACAGTTGTGATGGACAGGTATGGAAGGAGGTGGAAGAGTCGAAGAGAGAGTGGTGTCACTAAGAACCTGGTATGATGTGGAACATTTTCTCATACAGCGTTAAATTTTCTCATCAACCATTTGAGGAAAGTGGTATTTGTCCTATTTTCAAAGGAACAAACTAGCACCTTATACATTCTGAGGGGAGACTTGAATGCCCAGCGAGCAATCATTTAAAAGGCAGGCAGAGTCTCCCTTCCACCCCATCTGTTTGGGAGCTGAGGAGACGACCCTATTTCCTGTTTCCTAGAAAGCATCAGTGGCCCAGTACCATCATGAATCCACTTCTTTCGGAAGTGGCACTATCTCTGGAATCTAGTGTCTCCGTGGGAGAAAGAAGAGTAAACAAAGTCAGAGCAGGCCAACTCTCACCTTCAGTTTTATTGTCTTTCTCCAAACACAGCTCCACTGCTTCCACTGCTCTGGGGCTGGTAAAAATGAGTCCCCCATAATCTTCTGGATGAGACAGCTGCACATCAAAAAGCAATGAAAGTATCGCCCAAGGAACTATGACCCACAATTCCAAATGCTTCCCATAAGCAGTAGGTAAATGAATTCCTTCCACCCAGTCCTTCCCTCTATCTACCCAACCCTTATTGAGTGCTTACTATGGACCTGGAATTGTTCTAGGCCTTTTAGGATATGCAGGTGAGTTCATTATCATTGTGTACATCTGACTTTATTCAAAGTGTAGACCCTGAATCTTTTCATTTTGGGGATACTGGGGATCAAACTGAGGGTCTTGGGCATAGTAGGCAAGCACTCAAACACTGACCTATATCCCTAGCCCAGAACCTTTAATCTGAAGTATTTAGAAGGCAGGGCCTGTCTCCTTTCAATATTGGTCACTCCTATCCCTGGCACCAGAACTGATAGGATGGACAGAAGCCAGACCTGGCCCTTCCTGGCTAGGGGCTTGGCTGAGTTATCTAGCCTGGAGCTTTTATCTCTAAAACGGGAAAACACCTGTACGGCTTGCTGCATAGAGGTCAGGGGCAGGGGTGAATTAAGTGAGAGGATGAATGAAAGAGTCCTGCAACTGAGAGCCACACAGGGGTGATGCTCTCACAAGTCCTATTCCTTGCGGCCCACTTCTGAGTCTAGACTGCTTACACAAGGAGCTGAGAGAGGCTCAATGGAGAAGCTCATAGTTTAGGCGCCTGCCATCAGGGAGGCTGTGGTGCTTTTGTGCTCATATTTGGTGGTAAAAGTGGGGGCTACCAGAAGGCCTTCCAGCTTGGGCTGGCAAGAGTTGCAGACAGACCAAACATGAACACGGGAACCAGACAGACACAATAGGCTTTACCTTCTCAAAGAAATTGGAGAGAGACTGAAACTCAAACGATAACACAGGGATCAATGTGGCTTCAAGACCATACAACCCTAATTCCTGCAAATGAAAGAAAGTAGTTCTAGGTTGGCCAGGGCTGTTTTGAAAATAAGAAAAGGGTCATGGTATCACATAAACAATTTATTCTGTGTCAAGTCTGAATTTTAGCAGCTCCTTCCCACTACCAGTTCCAGCCCCTTGACTCTGTTAGCAAGGAAGCTCTAGTTCAGGTAGAAGGAGTCTCTGCCACTTACCTTGATGTACGGATCCTGGCCACAGTCATCCTCCTTTGCGTCTTTCAGTAAAAGAACCTTCATTATGACCCGGTCGTCCTTCCAGGGCACTGCAACACCACAAGGAAACAGATCTTAATTAGATCTTAAAGACTTCCTAAGCAATGTTGCATGAGGACAGAGCACTAGAAGGAGGTAATCAACTGCTTGCTGAAGAGACCTATCCTGCCCCACAATGACTTAGCGTTAATGGCCCTGTTCTTTTTGAAGCCCCTGTCATTGATAAGGCCAGGGGCAAGCATGTTAGCAGTTGATATATCACTTGGAAAGGCAGATGAAAGCCAGTAATGAAAGTTACAAGTCCTGTACCAGACAGTTACAATAGCTTACAGAAGAGAAGTGCAAATTCTAGGCTGTATTCTTGGGTTTAAAAAGATAAAGAAATAAGTACTTGAACTTCAAGATAATCATACTACTCAGCTTATAAGTGCTTTAAGAAATAATTATATTGACTTTTCTACTTCTCAAATGATATTTATAAATATTGACAAATATAATGAGATATTTGACAACCTGGAAAACAATTTTTGACATGTATTTAGAACCTTATATATTTCATACCCTTTCTTATGATTTCACTGGTAAGAATAATAAAAAGGTAGTGCTTATAAATGTGTACAAAGATTAATATAAAGATGTTGGTTTTGTCATTCTTTATAATTCCAAATAACTGGGAACAATCTAAACATCCAACAATGAAAGAATGCCTAAATAAATCATGGTATGGTGCAAAGACATCATTAAAATATTCATAAATAATCTAATTACACAGATTACCTAATAAAAAGTAATGTTATATAAAAAGCACAGGGGAGTTGCGCGGAAGACACCAAATTACCCCGCTGCAGACAGGCAGCCACCTGGTTCCACACTACAAAGACACAGAGGACACCAGACCAAGGTACTGAGTCCCGATGTGCACGGCCCAGAGGTAGGGGCTTCTGAGCCAATGTCCCACTGCTCCTGGTCCAGAGGAAGGGGCTTCCCGGTCACCATCCCTCCCGCTGTTCTCCTTTTGGGCCACCTTCTGTCCCGCTGCTCCTGGCCCAGAGGAAGGGGCTTCCAGGCCAGCATCCCTCCCAACGCTCCTGGCCGAGAGGGAGGGGCTTCTGAGCCGCCATCCCACTGCTCCTGGAACAGAGGAAGGGGTTTCTCGGCTACCATCCCTCCCGCTGCTCCCAGCCCACAGGAAAGGGTTTTCGGGTCACCATCCCTACTGCTGCTCCCGGCCCCTGTCCCACCTCACCCAGCTCAGAGGAGGTAATCCGTGCAGGTGCTAACAGCCCCCCGCCCCAGTCAAA